TGTAATACAGATACGAGAATACCAGATTAGCTACACTATAGTCTATACATATTTTAGTAAAGATCATCTGAATTTTTTTTTTTCAATGTTATGCGTACATATTATCTTTTAGTTACAGCATAATTGTAAAATAAATTATTAATAGTTAAATATTTTAGCTTCAATTCAGGGCTGACAAGGTGTTATGTTTAGCTTCGATGCAAAGCGAGAAGGTATTGGTTTTACTCTGATGTGTGTTTTTTTTATCTGTATACACTGTAACTTCTTTAATACTGGACCAATTCTTTTGAATAGCAACTCTATAAACCGCAATTTTCATCTAGTTGGTACTTTGGGGGGGTAAAAGTTGAAAAAGTTTAACTCTTCACAGACGAAAGTTGAAAAAACAAAAAAAAAACCGTACGAGTTTTTAAGTTAGAACTTTTACTAGCTATAGCTTCGAGAAAAAGAGTCGGATCGAGTTGAAATTTATAAGAAATATTTATTTAGTATGCCCGCGCACGTCAGTTGTATCAAATTTTAATTTAACCCAATGCCCACCCCCCTTGGGGGGGTACAAGTTTTTTTGTTTTTCGGGGTTTTTAGCCGTAATTTTAAGATCTATGGGTTGAAAATTTGCCAGTAGTTGGAACTCATATGTATCCATAACATATTAAACAGAAAAATAATTCGGCACAACAGTTTTTTTTAATAGCCGGAAAACTGTGTTTTCGCAGATTGCGTATATTTTAACAAAAAACACTTAAATTCTTAAAAAAATTGTTATCAAATCATTAAAACAATTTTATGTAGTTCTATGCAGAATGATACTATTAAGTTTTGTGCTCAAGTAACATTTTTGACTTTAAGTTTACACAAAGTTCAATTTTTTTTTTTTTTTTTTTAAGTACAAACGCACTTCACCAGATGTGAGAAACGAAAAAAAAAAGTATAATTTTTTGTTCTATTGGCATCATCGTGTGTACGAACGGCATATTGATGCGCGCTCTTATCTGCTCCGTAATGAATTATGAAATCAGTTATGATAGAAAATATTGTATATCGTTTCAAATAGTATTTTTAAATCTCTACAAAAACGCTAGTTTTTATTCTGGTTGTTGTATTGCGCTGTATAAAACTTTTATGACGTAGTTGATGTTTATTTTATCAATTTAATTTTATTTAAAATTAAAAATTTAATTTATATTAAATTTAATTTAATATAAATTTTCATTATTTAATAAAAAAACAATTTGTCAACAGAATATAACTAACTGGGTGTGGATTTTATTAAGTCACAGTTGATATAAAATCGATTTGGACTTGAACTTTTTGCGGAATAACTGAATTTAATTTAAGTAACTAATTTAATTTTAATTGGCAGCCATTTCGTGAGAAATGATAACATGAGTTGTTTATACTATAGTGTATAGTTGTTGTAATTATCAATTTTTGAGACAAAATAATATTCGATCGTGACCATATAAACGCCCGATCGCGTTATCAACTGTCCACCGTCCTATGTACACGGTACAGGTGGGAACGAAAAACCTCTTATCGGCCCGAGCCGGTCATGGTGTGTGAGAGAGAGGTCGGGGGGTGATGACATTTGTAGGTAGTTGCCAGTCAGTATTAGATAATTCGATTATCAGTTATTGATTTAAAATTGATCCGGAGTGTCAATCCGCCGTCGTTCCGAGTATTATTATTTTTATTTACATATTGTAAAAAATATTTAATTATAAAAAAATATTTTCTTTACATAATTTTCGGTGTTAAATTTCCGCCCTCGTATAAAACCACCTGCACACCGTCTTAATTGCTGGGAGTGTTTGCCGAGATTCAGCTTGGTAGGTGACTTGTTATTTAGTATGTAGTAGCTTCAGTATTGCTGATTCGTTTAAATTTATATTATTATTTATTTATATTTATCCGTATGTTACCTTATGACAGAAGTCAGAACTAAGTTGGTGTTAGAAACATCTGTCATGATTTATGTCTTGTATGCTAGGTATAGGTAAGGGAAGTGACGTATTAAATCTCAAAACTGTATGTTTATACGTACACAGTGTAGGTAATAACATGGTTGAAATATAGAGGTTATTATTGCACATCGTCTCTAATTGTTATCTTTATGCATTACATTACAGTTACATATTGTTTATTATTAGTCAATGTAAAATGCAATTTTCCAGATACTATTTTTTAATATTTCATACAAATTTGTATGATTTAATGAATTTTTTTTGTTTACATTACTAAGATTTGTAACTCAGTAGTGTTTTTGTCATTTTTTTGAGCTTTTGGTTTTTATAAATAACATTGCTATGTTTAATATTATTGAAAGAATAGTTTCATTTAAGAAATTTACAAAAAAAGGTACTTTTGTGTACTGTAATTTTTTGGGGGATTACTTGACAATAAAGAAATTAATCTATGTAATAAGTTGTTGTTGTTTTGTAAATGTTACAGGTAAATATTAACATTTATGTAAGCTTTTCATTTTATACCCGTGTGCAACTTTTTGTTATGATAACTTTGTTATATACCTACAATTATTGTTATTAATACTATCATAAATTATATTTGACGGTATACTTCTATTATAAATGGGTATGTATTTGAATTTTTATGGACATGTTTATGATAACGTTAAAAAAATTATTTGCATTACTATAAAAATGTGTATTTAAGTCAAGAAAATTACAATAATAATATCAGGACTTCTATTAATCTAATATATGTGCTTTACAAATACATGAAAATTGTTGTGTATATGGATTAATCATATTGTTATGTGGTGTAATAAAGTTGTTTGACGTCTAGAGTTGTATTTCATGTGTCGTAGTTAATTTTTTAATTTTTTATTTTAGGCATATTTTTTTTTTTAAATTCATTAAGTTAACATGGGAAGGAAAAGTAAACGAGCCCTTAAAAGCTTTCAACATATACGGGATTTAAGAGGAAACAAAGAATATTGCGCTGATGAAAGAAAAAAAGATAAGCAAAGAAAAGGAGTTGTACATTTAAATCCTGCAAAAACATTACATCACAATATCATAATTTTTAAAAAACCAGTACAGTGGGGTCGGGGCATAGTGGGGACGGAGCATAGTGGGGACGGGGAGGTCACAGGTTTATAGGAATTTTTAAATCTGAAAGTGATAAAATCACTTTTGAAAAAACGCTTCGATGCAAATCGGTAGTTAGTATTTTCAAGGCAGTACAGTCCAACCCAAGCACAGTATAAACCAGCAAAGTTAGAAAGTTTTAAATGAAGGTTCTGTATTTACAAATGAGCATCAAAGCGTTTATTTGAAAGCGATTTTATTCAATTTTATCACTTTTACTTATAATAATTCCTGTAGACCTGTGACCTCTCTGTTTCCTCATTGCTTTGATTACATTATGCCAATACTCTACTGTACTAGTCCTCTCGGATAAAATCAATTTCAAATTAACGCTTTGATGCTCATTTGTAAATACAGAACCTTCATTTAAAACTTTCTAACTTTGCTGGTTTATACTGTGCTTGGGTTGGACTGTACTGCCTTGAAAATACTAACTACCGATTTGCATCGAAGCGTTTTTTCAAAAGTGATTTTATCACTTTCAGATTTAAAAATTCCTATAAACCTGGTGTTTAGGGCAGTTCTTCCAAAAAATGATAAGAGATAAGAGTTCTTCCAAAAAATAACACAATTTTTATTTTATCAGCGTGACCAACCCAGAAACACCAAAATATAAAATCACATTCTATCAGTCTGCCAATTCTATCAGAATAAAAGTAACTAAAATATAACTAACGTTTGTCAGAGTTAACTGTTATCTCTAGAACTAAACGGCAATAATTCAAATGATAAAAAAAATAACCGTGTTAAAATATATTATATTTTCTTAAATAGCACACATTTTTACGATACATTTATAATGACAAAAAACCAACTAGTTCATATGACGACAACGATAATTATTGGTAAATAAAATTTACTTTCGTTTCTTATTAATATTAAATGAATATTTTTATTAGAATTCTTTTTTAATTCATAATTCAAAACTCTTATTTTCACATAATATAAATTTGCAATATTTAATTTGAATATCATAATATATTTATCAATTATAGTACCTAGCGACAAAGTTCATACATACACTATATTGTACTAATTTGTGTGACAATATTATTACATCCTATTTAAACAAAACTATTAATACAAGTAAATTATGTTTTACAGTATGATGGTAGTTGTCTGAAGTCATAAAAAGCTTATCGGTATGCTTATTCATTAGAGCGGTTCGATTCCTGAAACTATCTCTAGTCTGATTAAGTGTGGTAACAGGTATGGAGTTATTTTTTGTAAAATTGTTTTAATTGATTTAATCTCTATTATTTTAATAATTAACATTTTAACTTTTAACTTATTTATTAATAATATATCTTTCAGTTTTAAGATGAGTCAAAGATTCTGGTTGAACAGTTCTCCATCGACACTAACTGGAAGAAATAATTGTTTTATCATTTGTCTAAATAGACAAGGTAAGGAAAACATTCTAGATTTGTAGTATTAATACAAATATTGATACAAAATTAGTTTAATATCAATCTAAAACACCCTAATATAGGGCATTTAAAAAAAAAGAAATCAAATGTAACTTATCTTTCTTAACTTTCTTTTTAATAATTTAATTTACTATTTTCTAACATTGTTAGTTTTTGAACAAGAAAAATTGCATTTACTTGTAGATCTTACGCTTCATTGGTATGAGATAACAAACTAGGTCCACTTGATATATACCGGTCACAAATATAGTGTAGTCATGAAATCACTCTTCCAAGTGTTATTGATAGATAATTTAAGTTGAATGGTATAAAAAGTTGGAAGTTAAATGGTATTAAAAAATGTCATTATCAATTTTCGTTATATTTAATTTTAACTTCACAATTAACAAACGTTAACATTAGTAATTTATTTAAAATTGGTTTTATATTATAATTATTATTAATATTATTTAACCATTTGTTGTTTTTTCAGCTAGAATGTGACCAGAGGAAGATTAAATGGACATATCATATATTTCTCCATGGACACTGTAATCCATAGACGGATTTTTGACACTATATTTGAATATTTGTTGTTGAAGTTAATTGGATTTTGTGCAAAACCCCTGGAAGAATATTCTGTATCAGGCTAACAGTATAAACGCCACCCAGTATTTCTGTTTACCTGCTGTTAGACATCGTAGTATCATCTCCAATCTCTTTATATTTTGTTTAATTTTATTTAAAAAAGTCTCATTATAATTTATTATTAATCAACTGTAATTCAGTTGTTTATTTATTGAATAACTTATTATCCTGTCTTCAACGTCCATATAAACTGTACTGTATTTATGACCACTACACTGATATCTCATTTGGCTAAATATTTTTAATTTTCAACTACATTAAAACAAAATTAAGATTATTTAAATTTTTTTTTTTTTTGAATACTTGTATTATTGTTTGAATATTTTTACACTTTAAGTGTCAATACAAGTATCTTTAGTTTAACGATACTAACAGTATATTACTATTACAATTTTGACAATCATAATTATTAGCCTACCAAATAAATTATAAATGTAGCTTCTGTATTTGCTTATTTATTAATATTTACTTACCTTAATAACATTAAAATATTAATTTATTGTAAAAATATCTTGACCTAACTGAAAGATTGAAAATTTGTAAACTGTTGTGAAATTATGTTGATGTTGTTAGGAAAAATTGTGTAGTCAAAATTTTGAATACCTAGATTAAAAAAAAAAACGGTACAATTTTTTTTGCTAAACCAAGTAATTATACATTTGTAAATTTTGATGTTTAGTTTATAATATATACATTTTTAGTTAAAAAATATCTTTACTTAGGTATCATTTTATACTATTTATACTTTTTACCAGATTTTTTTATGTGTTTTAAACTATTACATTTATTATTTCTATTATTACTATTTATTATTTATTTAAATGACTTATCAAACTTTATGAATTGTACTTTATAAATTATAAAATTGGTCTGAAATGTATACTGTGTTACTATAGGTAGCCTGATAGACAGGAAGTCTATATTGTTTTTTAGAAATAAAAGTTGTTTTTTTCTTGGTTAGCTTAATTATATAGTGTGATTGACTAATTTTCTCTCATAATAATTTCAATTAGGTAAAATTATTTTTAAAACATTTTTGTTTGTGTTATTTTACAATTGAAAACATGTTTTAATAACCACTTACTTTTTTGATAATTTTTAATTAAATAATATTTAATTATGATAAAAATTCAAAGCGTATTTAGTATATAGTATATATTTGTTTATAATTTTATTATTTAGAAATTCATTAGTTTTTAGATGTAGTTTTTGACACAATAAAGTAAAAGTAAACCAAATGTATTTTTTCTAAATCTGTTCTCATAGACACGTTTACTCTCGATAACGAGTGATTTGTATTAAGTGATATTATATAATACGTTTAAACGAAGGATGTTTAACATATTGAATACTCTCTTTGAGTATACAATGATGTGTTCGATATAAATTGTATTATAAAGTCCAGATACCGTTATCTTTATTTATATGCATAGTATAATGTAGTAAATAATTATAGATTCAACATTTAAATAATAAATGAGCTTTAGTAAGTTTAACCCTTAACAATACCTGCTATTATCTAATAACTATAGATATATATAAATAATGTCTTGATAATAATTGAATAACATATTCAATATTTTTGATATTTTCATTTTAGTCAGTTATCAATGAATCAAAGTATACAACTTTTTTCTTTTTAATAGTAACGCAGTTACATCTTATATGAATCATAATTCATGAAACACAATTTTGTAGCTCTACACAGATTTGACCTCTAAACTTTAAGTTATCCAGATTAAAATAGTTTTGAATATTGAAAACCATATGTTCAGTTTTATTCAAATTCAACTATAAAAACTCGTAAAACCATGTAAATATGTTTTAGTAACTAAATATTATATTACTTCATTATTTGGGATTTAATGATTTTTCAAATATTTTTGATAGAGACAGTGATAACGATATTGGTTTATAATGGCTACAGTCTAGTAATTATAACTAGAGCCCTAGTAATTATAATTACCGACTGAAATAATAGATAATAACTACTGAACAATTATTTATTTCCTGTTTTGTGTAAAGGAATGAAGACACATTTGTTAAAACTATTGGGGCACTTACCTGAAAATAATGATAAATTAAATACATACAACTTTTATACTTTTCATTGTTAACTACAATTTAGTAAAGTACAACTGTTTAACAGTATAAAGTTAGAATTATCTTCTACTAGTTTAATCTAGTATTTCTAACCAAAATTATGGGGGTATAAGATATTCCTAACACAATTATACCATTTTTAATTAATGTTAAATAAAAATGGGATTATCTAATCTGTTTTTAAATGTTCACTTAGTTAAAATAGAGTTAACCTGACCGCTTGATATACAATCTTTTAATTTCTGATTTGATAATTTTATTATATACATATTAGTGGAATTGGAAGGAAATAGCCTCATTAGTTTTCACATTAAATATGTCCATAGCTACGTTTATATCATTTTAATTTTCACAACTTCACCAATCTTAAGTAAATATTAACATACTTAAATCAGTCTTATTATAACTTATTAAACTTTTTGTGGGCAAAAAGAGCTTTAACAGCAGATCTCGATGAGAACGAGATAAGAGATAAATAAATATGATGAGATGCTGCAACTTGCAATTGTATCTATTTATTTTATAATATGTATTATTTCTATTTTTTTTATAATATAAGAAAAGTATACATTTCTTAATAAATGGAATGTAGGCAGAATTAATAACAGAAAATTTATAATATCACTTCTATAAGAAACAAATCTAATTGATAATATTTGTATTGATTATCACTTAAATTGTATTTCTACAAAGGCAATCGAGGTAAAAGATAATTAGCCAAGTCTTTGCCAGGCTTGTACAAAAATATTTTATTACTTTTCACTAGTATCTTACAGCATTACTTTAGACATTTAATTCTACTTATGTTTGGAAATGTGCAATATCAAAAATTCTTATAAATCTATGGATCTATGAAAATATAATGTTAAAAGATCTAAATGAAATATGGATATACCTAAGTAGGTATTCTAATTTCTAATAGATTTTTATACTATCTGATTATCAGAGTATTAATTAAAATAATTAAAAAAAAGCTTTATGTCAATATTGTCCACCGTAAAACGGCAGGACTTAATCCAAAAATTATTTAACTACAACAGAAAGCAAGTTCCTAGAACAGAAAAATATATATTAAACACGAGGGTACCATACCTAATTTATGAAGGATGGAACAGTACAATCGTTTGAAGAAGTTTTGCAGTTATTTAATTAAGATTTTTGTACCATACCAAGGGTAGATCAACATTTATGTGATGAGTATTTGATACGCTCGCATTAATGTGTATCAATTGTCATATTATGCGATTTCTGGTGTAATTATTCATAAATTATTAATTTAACTATTCACTAAGTAAATGGCCATATTAAATGAATAAGTACATAGATTAATAAAATATGGGCTATGCAATCTTCTAACAAACAAGGACATTTTCAAATCAAGAGATAATTGTAAATTTGCAAATTTATATTGACCAAAAATTGTATCATATTTTTAAATCATATGAATAACTATTTCAGAACAAATTTATATTGTTTAGTTTGGTTTATATAATAAAAATATATACCCAGAGTAGCTTAATATAAACTAATTTCTGTAAAATATTAAGTGAATAATAATTATTTTAAAAACCTACTAATTGATTATAAATAACATTCAGTCTTGCAAGGTATTTTAATACCGATCAGTCTGATTTGATAATCTCACCAACATAAAAGCAAGTTTTTATTAAATTACATTATATATTTATTGAGTATGACGTTTATACGATTACGACCCAAGTTTGATCATTTTTATTAATACAACAGAATTGTTAAATCTAGTTTACAGTAATTTTATATTATGCCATATTCGTATTATCTACCTATTATCCCATGCAAAAGGGGCCGTACAACAATTTTTTTTCTCTTCACGAGTCTTTATCTGGCAAAAGGTTCACTTTGGACTATAACCTTATAATGTATATATTGATTTATGTGGAAACTTGAAAATAAAATATGTGTTTTGTTCTAGTTATTCATGTAAGGTATTTAAACTACAAGTGTCATATGTTCCGTTATCTTGCTCTAATATATCCTTTAGGTACCAAATTTTGTTAATAATATATCTTCAAAAAGACAAGATTGAAGACAAAGCTTATAAGCTCCTACCTGTATTCTTTAACTACAGAATACATATGTAAGATGTGGTAAAACTAATTTATACTTGACAGCCAAATTCTGAAATCGTTAACTAATTTAGGTAAAAAATAAAAATAATGTTTTATTTAAATAGTAATATAAACAATTTGAGGGAAATTTTAATAAAATTATTATTATTTTATACCAAATAATATTAAATTATAACATATACTATGATAGGTATATACTATAATATAATGTAATTTATTATGAATTTTACGTGTATAGTGTATACGATTTAAATTAGATAATTGATAAAGATCTAACTACAATTTGCAATAAAGATAAGAACCTAACTAAAGGCAATGTTTTTGATATTAAAATACGAAATTTCTCTTGGCGGGTTTTTGGTAAAATCGATGTTGGTACTATCTGTAGTATTACACATTTTATAGGTTATGTAACATTTTTTTCTTATCACGCGTTATCATTTTTTGGATGAACTACCCCCAACTCATAAACCTGTGACCTCCCCGTCCCCACTATGCTCCGTCCCCACTATGCCCCGACCCCACTGTACTGTTTTTTTTACATTGGTATTGATAATTATCTAATTTATTAAATTTCAATGTATGTGTTAAACATCGTAAAAACAAATGTTATCCATTTTTTATCTCTTAACCTTTTTTTACTGCACTTTTATTTTAATGGTTATAAGTATAATTTGAAAAAAAACCTTCTTATCATAGCGATATAGAATAAAGAATAAACAACTTAGTTTTTCATATATGAATATTTTAGCTTCGATGCAGAGCTGAGAAGGTATTGTTTTTACATTGATGTTTTTAATTAGTTTGCATATTTGTGTCTGGACCCATGGATCACCTAAACCGCTTAATTTAGATAGTGTAACAAAAATAATCGTCATTATCCTAACCTAACCTAACCCAAAATGTATCTATCTTATTACTAAAATAAAAACATTTTTAAGATCTATAAACCATTTGTAAACATTTATATATTATGAATTCCCATTTCCGAAACTTCCACTACGGTTCAACTGAAAAATCCCAAATCGAAAAGTTCATAATATGCGTATCGTTCACATTTAATAAAAAGAAGAAAAAAATAACAGTTTCCATGAGTGTTTCCATATCATTTTTACATAAGTATATATTAATAATTTCAAAACAAAACGTGATCTGGTTTCCAATAAGTCTCAACCACAATGTGCTAGTCTTGTATTTTGCAAATGAACAGTTTACTTTAATGTCTTGAAAATATACTTACCCATTACCAAACGGTAGGCCGAAATTTAAAAACCTAAAACATATAAACCATATAAAACATCAATTGGGGTTAAAAAAGCCATTACAGTGGGGTCGGGACATAGTGGGGGCATTGGAAA